TGATAAAATGAATGGTTCGTCAGCAGAGCTACAGTTATCCAAATTAAGCATATAATATATCAAATTAAATCCTTATTTGTCTAATTTCTAAAGATTCAAACTTCTCATCGATTGAATTTTTATTGAAAAAGTTATGGTCAATTTACTACTAATTGGTCAGTGGAAACCAAAATATGTGTGATGATAAAATGAATAGTTTGATAGTGGGGCTACAGTTATCCAAATTAAGTGTATAATATATCAAATTAAAGTCATGTCTGTCTAGTTCCTAAAGATTCAAACCTCTCATCAACTGGAGTTTTATTGTGCAAGTTATGGTCAATTTACTACTGATTGTTCAGTGAAAACCTAATTGTGTGTGATGATAAAATGAATGGTTTACTAAAGCTATATGGTTCAACATCAAACATCAGTTGATATTTTTTAAATAAATGAAATTAGTTATATTTAGCAACAACCTCTTTTCATGATATATGTATGTAACATAAAAAGATATCAACAAAAAGAACTAGAACAATTACAATTAAAACTACATATCAATATTTGTTTTCCTTTAAGGATAATAATAATGGTTCGGCATATTACAAATGGTTTACAAAAGTTACATGGTTCGACAACGAATATCATATGATATTTGTGATACAAATAAAATTTGTTGTATTCAGCAACAACATGTTTTCGATATATGTATGTAACATAAAAAAATATCAACAAAAATAGATAAAACAAATACAATTAAAACTAAATATCAATATTTGTTATCCTTTGTCAACACTAAAATTGAATTAGTTTTATGTGTGATGATAAAATGAATAGTTCAGCCGCAGGTCTATAGTTATCCAAATTCATCATATAATATATCAAATTAAAGCTCTATCTTTCTAGTTTTCAAATATTTAAACTGCTTATTAATTGGATTTTTATTGAGTAAATTATGGTCAATTTACTATTGATTGATCAGTGAAAATCGAAAAACAGGGGAAACCAAAGTGTATATGATGATAAAAGAAATGGTTCGTAAGTGAGGCTACATTTATCCAAATTAAGCGTATAATATATCAAATCAAAGTTCTATCTTTCTAGTTTCTGAAGATTCAAACCTCCTATCAATTGGAGTTTTATTGAGCAAGTTATGGTCAATTTACTATTGACTACTAAGTGAAAATCGAAATGTGTGATGATAAAAGGAATGGTTCGAAAGTGGGGCTACATATATCCAAATTAATCTTATAATATAAAAAATTAAATCTCTATCTATCTAGTTTTTAAATATTCAAAACTCTTATCAATTGGAGTTTTATTAAGCAAGTTATAGTCAATTTACTATTGACTGTTCAATGGAAACCGAAATGTGTATTTATGATAAAAGGAATGATTCGGTAGTAGAGCTATAGTTATCCAAATTAAGCGTACAATATATCAAATTAAAGCCCTGTCTATCTAGTTTTTAATGATTTAAATAGCTTATCAATTGGATTTTATTGAGTAAGTTATGACTAATTTACTATTAATTGTTCAGTGGAAATTGAGAAAGAGGGGAATCGAAATGTGTGTGATGATAAAAGAAATGATTTGTCAGTAGTTATCCAAATTAAGCATATAATATATTAAATTAAAGCCCTGTTTGTCTAGCTTCTAAATATTCAATCCTCTCATCAATTGAATTTTTATTGAGTAAGTTATGGTCAATTTACTACTGATTGTTTAGTGGAAACCGAAATGCATGTGATGATAAAATAAATGGTTTACTTTACCCAAATTTAAGGGATTATCATATTAGGACTGATAAAAAATATTTCAAATAACACTTATTAATTGGAAAACGAAATCAGCCAAAATTAATTTATTTAACATATTAGCAGAACATAAACAATTAATCATTCATATAACAAATTAAAATACATGAATGTTTTTACAGAAAACATATTCAACACAAATGAATTGTTTCTACTAATATAGATATGACACATACTCATAGTTCGGCTAAAAATGAGATCATCCTCGATTTGATCTTAGTAAAGTACATGAACATATACTTGAAACAAACATAACAAAATTTAATCGATCTTCATGTTAAGATTGTTAAGGAACAAATATTCATTTTTGTAACAACCGTTACTTGAAAACGAAATCAACAAATGTTAATTAGTCTTCATATTAAAATTGTTAAAGAATACACTTACCGTTCGACAGGATTAACACAATTAATCATTCAAATAGATTGACCGAACAAAAATAATCATTCAATCAAACAATAACCATTAAAATAGTTAGGAGATGTACTTACGATTTCATATTAAAATAGTTAGAAAATATACTTACAGTTCAAAAGAACGAATCAAAATAACAACTCATTTGACAATGTCAATCGGACATCTTGCCTTTATTCTATGTTAATTCATGAATCTTTGACCTGTAAACAACAACAAAAACATAAAGAAATAAAAAATCATCGATTAACAAAATCATGAAGAACAAATATATTATTAACACAAACTAACATGACCTATAAATAATTAACAAAATACCATACTTATTGTTGACACCAACAAACATATTACGATAATACACAACTGAACATATACCATTTTTATAATCCCTTATTTAGACCTTTCGAATGCCAACACAATTAAATACGAATTTAATATGAAGAAAGATTTGCAATGTCAATACAATGCACCTATATAATTATTAATAGCAATCATAGATAAATGTCATTAAACCACAATTATTAATAGCAATCCAATGCATTTGTATACTTGTTATTAATGTACATCCAACACGTCAAAATAGTTAGCTTTGGAATGCCAATGCACTGCACCTATATTATTATTATTGGAATATCAATGCATTGCATTAATATCTCATTAAACCACATATCAACTTAGGAATACCAATGCAACAACTAATGTTGTCTACATCATCACCAATAAAATTCAACCACATGACAATCACAAATTCAAAGTGTTATTATGGTTAGACTTTTTGAATGTCAATATAATGCACCTATATAATTAGTATTATTATTAATTATTAATACAAATCCAACATGTCAAGATGGAGCAATAAATAAAAACCTAATGTGTCAAAATGAAGCAATTTGATTGGGCTCATTAAACCACAAATCCTAGTTGTCAATCCAATGTGTCAAAATAGAACAATTCTAGAGCTTCCAAAATGTGCCACGTGTCGATAAACCAAGATGGGTATTCAGTTATATATATATTGTTTATAGAATTTAAAATAAGTTATTTTATGATTTTCGTATAAACTTTTTTTGAATTTATTTAAGGTGTTGAAGTTTCAAAAATACCCTTATTCTATTTTGTAATTTTGACTTTATTTATTCTTATATCTTAAAGCCATTTTTGGGTAAATTAAAACTAGAAAGCTCTTTTACATTTTTCTAACCAAATAACAGACAACTTCGTTCATAAAAGCTATATTCTCTACTCTAATATGTTCTTTTTCTATGAGCTCTACTCATATAAGCGGTACTAAATAGTAGGAGTAGGCAAAAAAATAGGGTAGACTGAAAGCAACGAATACCTGGGGTTTCAGTTCCAATTTTGGTTCCTACTTGGAATGGCCATCATAGGGTCGGTTCCGATTATGAAAAATGGGAACCGGTATTATACAGTTCTAATTACACTACTGGAGGAACTAGAATTGGAACCAGAACTGAGACCGAGAACTGGGTAAGAACCGGGACTAAATTATAATTTTAAACTTTTAGGGTTGTATTGTAACTTTTTGGGGGTGTATTTGTCATTTTTGTGAACAGTAGGGATAATGTAATTTTCCTGGGTACCCAAAACAGGAACTTGTGTTTCAAGTTTCGATTCCAAGCTTTTAGGAACCGGAACTGGAACCAAAACCGACCAGTTTCGGTTCCATGGGATTTGGGTAGGTACCCAGACCCGCCCACCCTTACTAAATAGACCCTTAAACATGTGTGGTTGGACTTATTTATTGGCTAAAAGAGCTTATTTGAAGTCATAAACACTTTTCAAAAAAAGTTATTTGATTGCATTTAAAAAAGGCTTATAGAATTTAAAATAAGTTATTTTACGGCTGCTATTTTTGAGCTTATTTAAGGTGTTGAAATTTCAAAAATATCCTTATTATAATTTGTAAATTTGACTTTATTTATTCTCGTATATTAAAACATTTTTTGGTAATTAATATTAGAAACCTCTTTTACAGATTTCTAACCCAACAACTAATAAATTTTTCATAAAAACTATATTCTATATGCTCTGCTCCAATAAACTCTTATTCTATAAGCTCCATTACACAAGCTCCACCATGTGTAAACCGTACCAAACGAGTAGCCACCATTTGTGGGTAGTGTGAATACCCTTTTGGGCGTGGACTCAAAACTTTGAGCAAATTAGGGCTTCATCTTATCATTGTGGTCTATCTTTATTTGGGCCTTGGCCCTTATTATATAATGATAAACTTAAACTACAAACTGTTTAAACTTTTATGGAAATACTTGATGTATCCAAATACACCCCTCTAAGTTACAAAACAGCATTTTGTATTTGATCATCATTCATCATCTCTTCGTTTCTATTATCATTATATGCATTGTATGTAGTACAATTTGTAATTGCATAAAAAAATTGATAAATTATGATAAACGGGAAACAAACGTGACTATAATAACATGATAAATAGACTTTGATACAACTTACCTCAAAAACAAAAATCAATTCAAAGGTGAAGGAAACCAAACCATATATGTACACCATAATAGTTTACCAAATTGGTAATGCAGGCAAATACAACTTCTACCGAATTGAAATTAAAACATAAAAATTAATATAAATATCCATATCTAAAAATTTATGTGTATACATACATTGGGAGAATTAATTTCAAGCTCCATCATAATCACACTCAATCTAAAATAAATCAAAGTGATTAATACTTCTAGAATACGTAAAACTTTTTTAAGTCAAAATCCTTAGATCACCAACACTGCCAAACATTTCACCACCTTTACCAGAATTCCAAGAACTTCTTCAACAATTAATCTAAGTTGGTCCAACCTCCATTAATTTGTGATCATCTTTTCCACTTCAAAGCCTTCTCCATTCATGCTACTTTCCCAAAGAAACTCCATCTCCAACATCCATGGCTGTATCTTGTTTCCAACAACCAAGGCCAAGCCTTGAAGAGGACTCCGTCGTCCTCTTCTCCACCTCAAATTCCCCTGACGAATCCACCAGCCACTCCTCTTCCTTTTACCACCCTTCGCCGCCACCGCCCGCGAAAACGTCCCAAAAACTAACTGTAAGAAACCTTTCCTATAGCATTCAACCAAACAGTTCGTTTTGTCACTTGGGGAAGAAGAAGCCTAAAGCGATTGACATACTCAAATCGGTGTCTTTCGACGCCAGAGGCTCTGAAATTCTCGCTATTGTTGGCCCAAGCGGGACCGGAAAATCGAGTCTCCTTCGGATAATATCAGGAAGGATAAGAGAGACAGATTTTGATGCTAAAAGTATAGCGATTAATGACCATCCGATAATTAGTCCGTTTCAATTGAGGAAGATATGTGGATTTGTGGCACAAGAAGATGATTTACTTCCTTTACTCACAGTAAAAGAAACGCTTATGTTTAGCGCGAAGTTCAGGCTGAAAGAGATGAGCTCAAGGGAGAAAGAAGAGCGGGTTGAGAGCCTTCTGCATGAACTTGGTCTCTCGCATGTTGCAGATAGTTTCGTTGGAGACGAGGAGAACAGAGGAATATCCGGTGGAGAACGGAAAAGGGTTTCGATTGGCGTTGACATGATGCACAATCCATCGATTTTACTCTTGGATGAACCAACTTCAGGATTGGACAGTTCTTCAGCTCTTCAAGTGATTGAGCTCCTCGCTTCAATGGCGAAAGCAAAGCAAAGGACGGTTGTGATATCTATCCACCAGCCGGGTTACAGGATTCTTCAGTATATTTCAAACTTCTTGATCCTTTCTCACGGCTCGGTTGTCCATAATGGCAGCCTGGAATCGCTTGAGGAAACGATTATCAATCTGGGATATGAAATTCCCGTGCAGTTGAATGCTCTAGAATTTGCCATGGAAATTATACAAACATTGGAAGATAATTCTTATTCCAAAAATTACATATCATCATATTCTTACTCCATATCTTCAGACGAAGAAATTGGGTCAAGAGCTCAACAACATAAGGAGAACTACAGCAAATACAACGCCATCTATCTCCTCAATCTGTACGAGATCCTAGTTCTCATTTCAAGATTCTGGAAGATAATTTACCGAACAAAGCAGCTGTTCCTGGCACGAACAATGCAAGCTCTTGTGGGAGGATTCGGATTAGGAAGTGTGTACATAAACGTGAGAAAGGATGAAGCCGGAGTTGCAGAGCGATTAGGCCTATTCGCATTCAGTCTCAGCTTCCTCCTCTCTTCAACAGTCGAAGCCCTTCCCATTTATCTTCAAGAGCGGCGAGTTCTAATGAAGGAAACGTCGAGAGAAGCCTACAAAATTTCCTCCTATATGATCGCCAACACGCTCGTGTTTTTGCCCTTCTTATTTACAGTATCTCTTCTATTCGCCGTCCCCGTTTACTGGATCGTAGGCCTAAACCCGTCCATTTCCGCCTTCGCATTTTTCACCTTCGTGGTTTGGCTGATCGTTCTGATGGCGAGTTCTCTCGTTCTCTTCCTCAGTGCAGTCTCTCCCGACTTCATTTCAGGGAACTCTCTAATCTGCACAGTTCTCGGAGCTTTCTTCTTGTTCTCCGGCTACTTCATCCCCAAAGAAAACATCCCGAAATACTGGTTGTTCATGTACTACGTTTCGCTTTACCGATATCCGTTGGATTCGATGCTGACGAATGAGTATTGGAGCGTGAGAGGAGAGTGTTTTTCATGGGGAATTCAGGATCATTCCGAGTGTTTGCTTACGGGAAACGATGTGTTAAGGAATCGAGGGCTTGAAGAAGACGGGCGGTGGATGAATGTTGGGATAATGGTTGGGTTCTTTGTGTTGTATCGCATCCTTTGTTGGGTCATTCTGATTCGAAGAGCTTCAAAAACTACCATTTGAGAGAGCTTGTGTTTGTTTGTCTTAGATATTTGTTTTGTTGATAGTTATATTTGTTGGATTTAGTTTCATAAAATAAGTTGGTTTACATTTGTTTGTACAAAATTAATAGATTTTGCTGAGGATGATAATATATATATATATATTCCATTAGTTTGAACAAATTTTTAAGCTCAAGCACTGGGTTGATTTCGTTCTACCCAGTACCCAGCTCTTTCCAGTCATTGGAAGGGGGTCAAAGCTCCTGGGAGGTAGTCCTCCCGGACCCCGTGGGCCTGGGGCTTTGGTATCTCCAATCCTCGACAGAATGGCCATGGGCCCTCGATACGAAGAATAGCTCAACTGCTCATCCCACCCAGACCTATACGCTATTTCACCAACGATCATCAAATCCTGGAAAGGCAGACCCACATACGGGACGCCGCCCATGCACTGAGATAGGATGACCTCTTTTCCTTCATGTCACTCTCCGAAGTGGCGTGGGTCTGAGGACATGAAAATCCTTCATTCAAAGTCATCGCTGCAGGATTAGTTCTACTTCTACCATACGTATCAGCCTAGGGAACGTAATCTCATAGCACATTCAAAAGCCAAGCTAGAGAGAAAAGATCTTTTCTTCCCCCTCGCAAATGCTTGAGTTAAATCCCAGAAAATATTAAATACTTCTTGAAATTACTAAAAAACATGTCTATAAAGTACATTTTATTAATAAAAACACATCAATTTAAATTATTAAATCTGTTCATCAATTTCTCTACAATTAGTTCATATTATATATTAATTTATGATAAATCTATTCAAATTATTTTCTCATAGTATATAATACGTATGTGATATAGTTTGGTTCGAGCTTTTTGTTTGGGTCAACCCAAACCAAATTGTTCAGTTTCGTTTGAGTTTGCAGGTTCGGATAGTTTTACTCATAGCTGATTAGTAGGCATGACAATGTTTCTCGAAATTTCGAAGAACCGTCCCGCCCCCTCATATGGGGCAGGGAAGCCTCGGTTTTTTCGGGGATAGGGGCGGGGGTGGGAGGCGTTTTAAACTTTTAATCTCTATCCTCGGGGATGGGGCAGGGGTGGGTGATGCCTTTCCCCCACTCCCACTCCACCCCGTATATAATATAAACCTATAATTCCCAATTTCCCTCACCCTAAACAATTGAATAAGAACAAACCCTAACCCATATTTATGTAAAATTCCATATGTTTAAACAATTAATTTAAGTGTTTGTCATGTGGACGAGAATTAACTATTTTGTTTGGTAATGCTCAAATTAATTTATGTTTGTGTAAAATTAATAGGGCGAGGACGGACCTCCAACATTCCCCTTTGGGGCGGGGAAGGGAAATTCCTATCATCCCTGTAACAGGGATGGGGCGGGGGTGGGGAGTGATTTTGAGGGTGGGGATGGGTACGGTGAATGAGATCCCCGCCCCGCCTCGCCCCATTGCCATGCCTACTATCAGGGGCTTTTCTGTTATTTTCTAAACTAAAGGGGTTCTAAATGTTCGGGTTAACCACAGGATTATTACTATTATCCCTTGTTTTTATTTGATAAATTCGTTGAAACTATTGAACTCGCGATATAGATTCTGAACATCAATAAACTGAACTAAAACGTTTGACAGAAGTTGATGGCAATTGAATAGAGCTCTAGGGAGCAATTGGAAAGAAAAGTACAAGGAATTTGAGCATGTTCATATCATGTATCTTTGAGATGAAAAAGATTATAAAAATTAAATAATATTTAATATAATATATAGCATACTTGATCTCCACTAACGGTCTAACACAAACCAAAATACCCATTTGCAATTGTTTCACATTTATATAAAATATAATTGGTAAGTTGAGTTCAATCAAGTCCAGATCAACTTCCAACAAACTCCACTTCACTTTGAGTAGTTGGTCAAATATTATATATATATATATATATATAGAAGACTTCAAAAAAATTTACAACTGGTCAAGCTTCCGCGTCTTCTGCCAACAGGGGCGTTGAAAAGTCTCTCTCTTTCTCTGGCAGAACCATTTGGAGTCTTGAAACTTGTTTCAGGTAATGCGTTTCTCTCCTTTTTGTTCAAACTTCAATGTTGTTTAATGTTAATAAGTATATGCGTATGGCTCTCTTCTTATTTTTTCGGTTTGAAGTTTTTTTTTTAAATGTTATTTCAGTGTTTAGGTGTTCATTTTCTTCTGTTTCTCTGGTTTTAAGTGGAATTTCAGATCTGGGTATGTTTAATTTGATGTGGAAAGGGATTAGATTGATGTTTGGCTTAAAAGTGTTCTGGGAGAAGTATGAGTATGTTGAGTTTTGTACTGTATTAGGATCAGTAGTTTTGATCTTTTTACCTTCTGTGTTTTGTATTTGGTTATGAAAAAGTGGTTTTTCATTGGTGGTTTATTGAGTTAACTGTTGGTTTTTGTTATTCTCATGCAGATTTATCGTTATTTGTATCTGGGTTTGTGGTTGACTCGTTTAAACAAGGGTGGTGCTTGCTTCCTGCAATTGTTTATTGGAATTGTGAATTGAAGGTTCCATGTTATGAGTATTTTGATTGCATTTAAGTGTTGTTCCAGATAGCTAAATGAGCTTATTTGATCAATAAGGAGTTGGAATTTATTCATATTTGTACATTAGGACCTAGGAGTTGTAAAATGATTGGCAGAAAAAGTACAGGGCATCCATCGCCATTAGTTTTGGTGCTTTTGGCACTTGGGTTTTTCTTTGCAACATATAATTTAATAACTTTGGCATTAAGCTACAAGGCCTCCTGGGCAGGAGATGAATTGAATACATTAGATGCTGATACTGGAGTGGGGAGTTCTGATTTGAAATATCATGTTGCCCTTACGGCAACTGATGCTCCATATAGCCAATGGCAGTCTCGCATTATGTATTACTGGTATAAGAAAGTAAAAGATATGCCTGGATCAGATATGGGAAAGTTTACACGAATATTGCATTCAGGAAAGCCTGACAAGTTGATGGAAGAGATTCCCTCTTTTGTTGTTGATCCTCTTCCAGAAGGTCTTGACCGGGTGAGAATATTTACTTTTTGCTGTTTCTGTATCACTTATTTAGAAAATACTATTTCTCATAATGTCTTACACCTATTTAGTTGGAATATAGCTCATCACATGTGCACTTTGTTTCCATTTTCTCCTTCAAGTTCATCAAAAACCTTATAATATTGTTAATTTAGTTTGTGGCTATATATTTTGTTAACGACATTACCTTAACTAAAAGAATGGTGTGTGTGAACTAAACCAGTGATCCAATTTGATAATTGTAGCTATTCAAATATGATTAAACGACTTTTCATTTGCATTTGGAAATTCTAATGCTCTCTACCGTGATTGACGGTAGACAACTGATGTACACTCATTCTGATTCATCTGAATCTTCCATTTGCTAATTTTAGTAACCATCCTTCATTGTGCTGTAATACACTCTTATCTGCAAAGGTCTCTAGTTCTTAATTGTACTGCATACTTTTTGTTCTATCCAGGGATATATAGTTTTAAACAGACCCTGGGCTTTTGTGCAATGGCTGGAAAAGGCAACAATTGATGAAGAGTTAGTGCCCAAACTAATGATATATACTTGTCTGTCTACTTTTCTTCTGTTAAAGCAGCAATTGAAGCTTGAGTGATTTAATTTATAACTAATTTTCATATGTATAAAATCTGAAAATGATGGATTATGTAACCGATGCAGATACATCCTCATGGCAGAGCCTGACCACATATTTGTTAATCCGTTACCTAATTTGGCTCATGGAAGTAATCCAGCAGGTTACCCATTTTTCTACATTAAACCAGCTGAACATGAGAAAATTCTTAGGAAGTTTTATCCCAAAGAAATGGGTCCAGTGACGAATATTGATCCAATTGGAAACTCTCCTGTAATCATTAGAAGGGTAATCTTTCTGCTATTATAAACTATATGAACTAACTGCTCAAATCTTGCACGGCTGAGTGTTTAGCTGCTGTAAATTTTTTAACTTTCTACGGATTTATCTGGAGTTATCCAATCAAAACATAACACAGTTTTTAGACCATTTAAGATTTATTACTTTCAACGGTTGAGATTGCATCCTACATTTTTGTTCTCAATGTGCATTTATTTGGCAAATCATATATAATTGTATCTATTAAAATTTATTAATCTAGTAATCTTAGAAGTTGCAGCCATAATTTTGGTCAAAAGAATGGATTGCTGATCATTGCCTTCTCTCCCTGATCCCTCTCTATATTATTTATGTGTGTAGACTAAAATGTCTTTTTCAGTCTTTGCTAGAGGACATTTCACCTGTGTGGTTGAACGTTTCTTTAAAAATGAAAGATGACCCAGAGACTGATAAGGCATTTGGATGGGTGCTAGAAATGTACGTCTTAATTAAGCAAAATTTTTATTTACTCGTCTTCTGATCCTGGCTTTTGATGTTGCTGACATGTCTTATTGCACTAAGGTATGCTTACGCTGTAGCTTCTGCATTGAATGGGGTGCGGCATACACTTCGTAAAGACTTTATGCTACAGGTTCTTACAATACACAATGCATCAAAAGCTATTTTGTATATTTATACCATTTCTTTAAGTTGCACATACATCATAAATTTGCATCTTTTTGTGTTTTCAGCCACCATGGGATTTAGAAGTAGGGAAGAAGTTCATAATTCATTATACTTATGGATGCGACTACTCTTTAAAGGTAGAACACTCTCTTGCCGTCTGTGTATGTGGGGATAGTCTTAGGAACTTAATGATTTAACTGTAATTGTTTCACTTCTTTTTTTTTTTTCATAAAAAATATTTTCCTTTCTTGTTTTGCTTATATTTTTCTGAGGTTGATGATCCTAACTGTTTTTCTTTAAGTTTTTTGTACTAGCTTGTGTACTGATCATACTTTAGTAATAACTACAATTTTGCTGTAATCCAGGGAGAGTTGACATATGGGAAGATCGGAGAATGGCGTTTTGACAAGAGATCTTATCTTAGTGGCCCTCCACCAAGAAACCTCTCCTTACCCCCTCCAGGAGTTCCTGAAAGTGTGGTAAGTCCTTAATTCTGCCCCATATTTAGTAACGAGCTATTTGGGAAACCATATGCAAGAATATCCTCGTACTTAATTAAATAATTATACTATACAAGTGGTAATGATGTCCAAACCTGGAAACCCCCAGTCCTAGAGCACATTTCTTTCATTTTGTAGAACAGACAATAAGAGGATCTGGAATCCTGGATAAAAGGTAAATTAATGGCCAAATTATGAATCTGTAACTAGTCATTTAATGGCTGTAGCTAATAGTTGGCTGCCCAGGATATTTTTGCTGCTCTGTGTTACAGGTCATGCATAGTAATTTAGTAACGAGGTCTTACATTTTCATTACAGTATTAACATAAAACATCTTGGTTAGTACTACTACACATAAAACCTGAAACTTTGTTGCTTCTCCAATCTAACTATGTGGCTGTCCTGTCAATGTCCTCTCTAGCATCCTGTTTGAGGCTGTTATTCAGGATTTGGAATTTGTTTTTCAGCATTTGTATTTGGTTCTATAACAGTTAAATATAATCTTTCGTGCAGGAGTATAAATCAGAGGAATGTCTGAATGTCCAATCTTTGATTTGCTTTTCTTACAATTGTGCGCTGAATTCTGGGCCACTGATCTGTATGGTTGAAACAGTTCTTCCAGATGAACTTGAATTCTTCCATAGATTATTTATTTCTTTATTATATGTATAAAGAAGAGAAAGTAAAATATTAAATGCTAAATTATGTTGAGAGTACAAGGTGTCTATTATCATGTTATTCAAATGACTGATTCTATGCCATCCGAATGCCTAATAAGAGTATTCATGTCATTTAATTCTGATTCTTATACCCCATCTCATTTGCTTGAGACAGTCATGGATTTCAAAGCAGTCTCCGTCTCTCTCTCTCTCTCTCTCTCTCTCTCTATTTATGCTTCCTGTGATTGTTTGCAGGTGAGACTTGTGAAGATGGTGAACGAGGCTACTGCTAACATTCCTGGGTGGGACACATTAACTAGTGGCTGATATCAATGGAAGATCACACGCTGGTGGAATTTCTGCTTGGTCATTGCTACTAGCAATCTCAGGAAGAGATTTGTTGATTCGGATCACAGGTAACAAAAGGTTGGTATAGGGGGGAAGAGAAAATCACGAATCAAATAAGGGACCCTTGATTATTCAGACCTCTAAATTCTTCTGCTCTCATTTTGTTTACATTCAGAGTATATAGTTGAAATTTGTTGCTGAATGTTACAAACCTGTAAATTCAGAATTCCTTGCTGAGATTATTTGTTATAGTCTTTTTGTTCAGATAACAACACATGGACAGATTTTGTTTTCAAAATTTCCAGTTGATATAGACATAGAATTTCGTTGTGCACGAAGCATTTCTTTGTACTTCTGATGAGAATAAAATGGCTCAAATGCTAATTTTCTAGGACCTGATCTTTCACCAGGCGAATATTAGTTTTTTGGAATGATTTCTTGATAGTTTGTTCCTGCTAACTGTTGATAGTAACCGGGTTATTGCTAACTTCTATTGGATTTTCTTAGATTCAGAGAAACATTACTACTGTTATATGTTAATGTCTCTAAAGATACAATGCAGTTCTGTGTTTCTGTTTTTCATTATGGCTGCTTCATAGAAGGTTTTGATGATCTTGTAGTGAGGGAGGGCTTCATTTGTACAATTTGTTCTTCATCAACTACCATTCTTTTAGCGAGTCTTCCTGCCTCAAAGAAGCGCTTTACTGCATCTTCCATGTACTCCTTTCCTTCCTTGACAGTCATGTCCTTTCCTATTTTTTCTGGGAAACTGGTAAAGATATTGTCTCCTTTTAGCACTGCCGCGAGTTGCAGTAACTCCTGTTGGAATTCACTAAGCTGCGCCTCTTCATTCGCCTCACCCGGCCTGATCTTGACTGGTGTCGGGAGTTGCACTGTTCAAATATGAGATCGAAATCAAATTAATTGCATTCAAAATATAATTTGAGTTAAATGATTCCGGTGAGGGTAAAGTGAGTAACCTGGGCAATCAGTTCTGGGTTCTGTCCGAGTCTGGACAATGCCCTCAAAGGTGCCAGCCCACTGATCCCTCTTTGTAAGAAATGAGGGCAGGTTGAAGAGTTTCTTGACTGTTGCCGGAATAGAAGAATGTTCATATTCCGACGTCTGATAAGGTGATCCATTAGGTCCATGCACAACTGCATTATCATATCATACAATTAGTCTGATTATCATCTCATATAAAACAATATCTCAAGTCTTTCGTAATAAAAATTTGTTGTCCTTCTCTATTGTCCTCATATTTAACTCAAAGTAAAAATCAGTCCATGTATAAATTATGAAAACCCTTTCATTTATACCTATCCACAAGCAAAGACCTATGTATTAAAATGTAATATTACAAACACAAAGAAAGTTTACGAAGATTTTTATATAAAGTGATATAACAGAAATTGAATAAATGAGTGAATTTGATGAGTTTGACTCTTTGTATTCACTCTTTCACTTATTTTTTATCACGTCATTTTGTATAAAAATCTTTATAAGATTTATATGTACGACTAGCATTATTGATGTATAAAAGCATTCTAAGACCGACTTCCTTTTTAGCAGTATTTCTTAAGGGACAAGCAAAACAAATACTGTCTGTGGAGAATCGAAAAATGCAACTTTGGATAAAATTTTAGGCAGATTTATGTTGAAAATTGAACACTCAACAGCAAACCCAACCAACCCATTACAGTAATGGGGATTTTAAAATGGGTGGATTGCTTAGCTTGAATGCAAAGTTGTTTTGACAAATTGAGGAAGAAAACAAAGTGGGGAGTCTTTTTCATCTAATCTTCTTATCTCCATTTATAAAAAAGTAGTGTGAAATGGTAGCAGCCTATTTCTTTTGACTTTGATGGAATCAAGTACAGACATGATCCAGGCATCCAGCTAGTGAGTAGTGATGGTATGATGTGAAATGTTAATTATTTTTAAATTCAATATCATAAATGGGAGCGTTTCTTAATTCTCACCTATCAGGTTTAATATAAAAACGTTTTCCCTTGTCACCCTTTAATATCGTTTTTGTTAATTTATTCCAAGGTTTTAAAGGGTAAAAAAAGAAAAAAACATATTTATAATAAACAATTGACATTTTTGGATAAATAATTGAACGTATTAGTGAAATGGTTAAAAATTTTAGCTAAACGATTAACCATTTTGATACTATTTCAATTCTTAAGTGTAATAATATCAAAACAGTCAACTATTCAACCAAAACTGGCAATCATTTCGACCAAACTTCTTACTCGAACAAAACATCATGTTATTTGACCAAAACTGTCAAACCTTTTTTGCCAAAACTTATAATTGTCCAAAAATGATAATCGAAAAAGTCAACCATTTATACAAAATGTATTTTCTTTTACTTCCATCGTTATATTTAAGAGGGACTTGAAGAGGGAAAACGTTTTTCACAACCAACCTTAGTTACGACAATATAATTAAAACCCTAAACGAGAATATAATTTATCATATCGTAAATATATTTAACTTTTTGTAAGGTAAAAATGTACTTACCAGTGCCTTTTTCAATCCAAGGCGAGACCACGATGGTAGGAACCCGAACCCCTAGCCGATCAAACTTGAACAAAAACGGCTCCGGCCCAACAATCCCATCAGGACTAGGGACCCCACGAACAGGCGTAGCCACATGATCAAAAAACCCACCATGTTCATCATACGTGATTACAAGCAAAGTTTCATTCCACTGCGGGCTGGCCCTCAGAGTCTCATACACCTCCTTCACAAACATCTGTCCCTGATACACATCATGTGATGGATGGTCATCATTTGCGGGCTCAGTTTTCGAGTCCGTGTACCGCTGCTCCACCACGACGTAACCCGGAAGCTTGCCTTGTTTTGCATCTTGCTTGAAGGACAAGGCATAGGGGTGAAATTTTCCAACGTATTTGACCTTTCTCAGGTTTCTATAGAACAATGTGGCCGGAATGTTTTGGTAGTATATTCCAAAGTTTATTCCGGCCGCATCGAGGTTCTCGAAAATTGTCCTCTGTGGGTAGCCTTTGATTAGCAATGACGGAATGTTGCTTGTAGCACCCGCTGATGTCCCCGAGTGGACGTATAGTCTATTTGGTTGTGTCGATGAAGGCACCGATGCAAACCACCTTGTACACATAAAATGGATATGCCATCAATAAGCTACCTACAAATTGACCGATGTATATATATATATATATATATATATATATATATACCGTCAACCAGTACAGAACTACAGTGGCAATATTGGGATGGTTTCATTAAATGATAGCGACTCTCCCACATTCCAATAACGAATAAATACATAATACTATTGTTAGACTCTTACTTGCACGGCTTATTAAGATAAAAATAGATCCATTTCTCAGTGTAAATATTATCTTTACTGTGTAATTATTATGGCATTTATGAGTGTCAGCAAGAGCAACAGGTGTAAATAACTTTGCAGGAGAAAGAAGATTCAAGAACCACCACCTGTCAAACACTGCAAATTCTGAGACAAGAGTTTTGTAGACGGCGACCATGTCAGGATCAAACCCGTTCATGACATTCAAAGACATGTTCAAGGAGGGATCCATGGCGAAAGCTTGCTGAACAAAGCCGTTCATGGGCGGGGGATCAGCTGACGTGTCATTAGAACCGAATATCTGCTCCCTAATGGCCTGGAAAGAGTGGCCGGGATCAGGGTCGACGAAGTGAGCCTGGTTCTTGAAGAAGAAGCGGCGAGAGTTGGGGTCGGAGGATGATAATGGGTTGGATTCGGAACCATCAACACCGTCGATTTTGGGGTTGAGTTTCTTCATCCATCCGATCATGTGATCGAAGGAACGATTCTCCATCACTAAAACGACCACGGTTTTGATTGGAGTTGCATGGAGATGATGGAGGAGAAGAAGGATAAAACAGAGACAAAAAATGGAGTGTCTTCTGGTAAACATTATTCTAAATTTGTTAAAATAAAACTCTAAAATGAGAAATATATATAGCAATGGAGATAGAGATGAAGGAGAAGGGTTGATGGGAAAGGGGTTTGTGGTGGAAAGGGCAAGTGTGTTAATGTTAAAGGAGGTGGACTTTGTCCATTAGTTGGTTACACTTCCCGTGACATGTATAAAGATTTTTTAAAAGAAGAGATTTGAAATAGATAAGGTTTGGGATTTTTAACGATGGAGATTAAATTATAGATCAGAAACTCCGGTATCCCGATGAAAAATGTCAGGGATTTTCTATAATATTTAATATACTAGGGGTGCTTAGTTTTTTTTTTTTTTTAAGGAGCTAAAATCAGAATAGAAACCCACGATTCCTTGAATTTAAAATCAGAATCAACGATTATGGTTCTTAGGTACTTAGAGCTGAAACCTGTAATAACAATTTCGATTTCAGTTCTGAGTATCTTATAAAATTATATGACCTTTTAAAAAATTTTAAAATGGTAAAAAAAACCCTTACAAACTTATAAATACCCTTCCACCTAGAACTTGTTAACAAAAATAAAATTATAAATTATAAATTCAAAATTACAAATTCCATTACATTGTAAAGATAGATTCTCAAAGGTCAAACAAACTTACTTTAAATGTTATGAAATATAAATATAAATGTATTCACATTACTTTTTCTACAAAAGTTTTTATTAACCCCTTACTCTTTAATTTTATTTTATATTAGTCTCGGTTTCTGGTTCAGGTTTCTAATTATAAGAACCGGAACCTATCCGTTGATGGCCGGTTCTGGGTAAGAATCGGAACCAAACCCCGAGTATCTATCGGTTCGATTCTAATCAATTCTTTTGAACATCCCTAATCCTGATGGTAATAAAGAAGGAAGTCTATAACAGGACAATGTTGGGTGATATCATATCACATTAACCAAGTAATTTACGTATGGGAGGATTCTATGTATAACATGAACAATACATACGTTAATAATAAATCATGTTAAATGTAAAGATAATAATGGTAGGGCTAATTTGAGTTGGATATACATAATTATAATAATCACATTGTTTATAATGATATTTATGTGTGAATTTTCATGTGCGAGGCCTGGAGGATATTAAAAAGGCTAAGAATTAATGTGAAAATGACAATTCACAAACAAAATAACATCACATTAATAAAGTTACTGTTAAATGATGGTGAAACTGAAAGTGACATAACATTGCAATTATTATTTATGTGATATAATTGAGATAGTATCTATACATTACATCAACTATAACTCAACCAAAAAATCATGATGAGTATGACAATATCAATTTCTTAGCGTATCCTCTACGCTACCCACAAAATTCAGGTATATTCTTTGCCTTAACAAACTCCTTTACATGTTTATGTTTTGTAGCTCACAGCCTCAAACTAAAGAATAATGAAACTAACCAAAATGATACTAATCCAAGTACTAATTGATGTAACAGATCTTTCTTATTGTCAGCTCCCCGAAAACTAAAAAAAAAAATTTCCAAATTTCAATTGTTGGTACTTGGATTAGTATAATTTAGTTAGTGCACATAGCATTACTCCAAACTAAAACCCTAAATTCATGCTTTTCAAATCACGTATTATCAAAAATCTAATTTTTCGAATAGTATATCACGTATCATATCGTATCGTAGAATTAATAAAAAATTTCTAAAAATTAATATCATTCTAAAGATTAATTAAAGAATTTTATAGTATTACTGACTTTAAATTATGGTATTACGAAATCAAAATTAATCACAAAATTAAGAATCTATATCATTTCTAAGATTAATGTCAATATATATATCTCCACTTGTATTATTATTATCATGCAAAATAGATAACACATATTCTTCTTCACTTTCTCTACGCAAAATGGGTAAATTTGGATAGATTTTAATTAACCGGATTGGGTGACTCGGATTAGACCTGAATTTTTTTTGCGTTTTGAGCCCAAATTAATAAAGTCGTATTGATTTGTATCGATACTTTTAAGGATACGAATAGATACGTATCGTATCGTATGATACATATTAATGTATCAAAAGGTTTATGATACACTCTTTGATACGTATCGTTAGCAACCTGTATCGAATTATATCGTAGGATATAAAACCATATCACAGGATACTAATAACCATGCCTCAATCTCTTGCTCTCCTTGCCTTAAAACCCTAATCAGTTAACATTTCAAAAAATATGATCTCATGATTATCTAATTTCTTTTGTTATGGTAAAAACAACTAAAGTAACAATAATGATAGGGACACCGTGATTCTTACACCGAAATCTTGTATCGACCTACATGTCCTATGACTCACACCACACACGTTTTACGTTATTAAATTTTTTTCTAGTGAACGACCGTTCATCAAATATGGACGGTCGTTCACTTATATGGACTCCTGTCCATATTATATAGACGGGGGTCTATTTACTACGGACGGGTGTTCCCATTAAAAGGACGCCCGTCCATCAATAAATGGAATAAAAAATATAAACAAAACTTAGAGACAGCCGTTCATAGGTTATGGATGGCCGTTCATAAATATTCGATGGACACGTCCATTAAAAATTAAAAAACATTTAAGGATGACCGTTCATAATTTATAGACGGTCGTCCCTTAATTTTGGACAGACGCCTGTCCATAATAAAAATTTAAAAATTTAAAAAAAAAAAACTTTGGACGCCTATCCATAAATTGTGGACGGACATCCCTTACGTTTGGATGAACATCCGTAACTCTTGTTTGAGGTTAATTCTTTAGTAGCATGGCTCAAAATTGATGCTTTTCTTTGATTTTGATTGGCCTTTGTCTCCTCCCCACCTTTGTTTTGAGGAACTCAGACAGCTAAACTAGAATGTCATTTGTATGATGTTGTTATGAATTTTGATGAAGCAGGTTTTGTCAACTGATAGAATTGTATTTGTAAATATTTTTTGCAGGGGATGGGAAATCACCGTTGAAGCTAGCCCCAGCGCTAGGTAAAATAACTCTTTGATCAGCCTTTATAACCATGAAAAATTCTGATTCAGACTAGTGTTAGTCAGTCCATTGATGTCTCTGGATCATTTGAAATTTCTTTGCTGCAAAATAAACCAGCGCGAGACGCCCATCGAAACGTAAAGGACACCCATCCACAATTTATGAATGGGCGTCCAAAGGTTTTTTTTTTTAATTTTTATATTTTCATTATGGACAGGCGTCCCTTATTTGTGAACACCTGTTCAAAATTAAGGGACAACCTTCCATAAATTATGAACGACCGTCCCTAAATATTTTTTAATTTTTAAAAACGATTGTTAAACGCCCGTCTAATATTTATGAACGACCATCCATAACCTATGAACGATCGTCCCTAAGTTTTGTTTATATTTTTTATTCCATTTACTGATAGACGAGCGTCATTCAAATGGGAACGCCCGTCCATGGTAAATGGACTCCTGTCTGAAATCCATATAAGTAAACGGCCATCCATATTTGATGAACGGCCCTTCACTAGAAAAACATTTAATACCGTGAAACGTGTGGTGTGAGTCACAGAACACGTATACTAGTACAAGATTTCGATGTAAGAATCCCGGTGTCCCTAGCATTATTGCTAAAGTAAAATAGACACAAGAAGTCCAATTTCATCAAACAAATTTGACCAAACAATAATACACAAATATAACCCAATCATATAAAACATGAACTCAGACATCAAACATAGTTTCACCATTGACACTGGAGGGAGTGTTATTTCACAAGCTTATTTAAGATGATGAAGAAGGCAACCGCGTCTACTCAACCTTCGACCTCAATAACAAGACAGATGACGATGCTAATAAAGAGTAACTAAAATAACATGAGTTCTTTTTTTTTTTTGGTTTTTTTCTTATCCGGAGGCAACAGACACTTGTACACATTATACCTTCTGCTCTTCTTGAATTATAAACCCACCAAACCAGCCAACTTCAGATACCCAACCAAGCATACCTGGGAATCAGTAGATGACCCCTGATGCTATAATCTTGCATACAACTGGTTGAACGCATTATTATATTATCAGTTGCCTGCCAACCGAAGATGGTAGCCACAACTTCAACATCTTTGACCATTACAACAGTTAAGAAGCATAGTGAGTACACCCATCTTTTATTTTAACCACTCCTTGAGACAAGCTTCAAAACCAATAATGATCATATTTAACACAATTCTATTCTCCATCCCACGTAACCCGATAAGGCATTACTTCTTACAAACTTCTCACCATAAGATGTTTCAATATTTCTCTTCCCCAGCCACAAGAGCTCAGTGAAATCTGTATTAAAAAGAAAACCAACAAAACATATGTGAATATGAAGCTAGAAACAGCATATGAATATAAAAGTCTCCAATGCATATGCATGCATCAATGCACACTGATAAACACATTTACTCGTTAATAAATTATTAAATTTACGATACTCACTTCTGTAGTAGCAAGTGCCTGCAAAAAGCCAAGGCCACCAATGCTCCAACAAAATAAAACTCAACACTGACAAGGCTTCACAGTTGGAGTTTGAACATGGTAGCAAAAGAGTGCAGGTACATCCACCAGAATCATTCTCAATAACTTCAAGAACAAAAAAATTATATACATATATTAGATTAGAGAAACTTCTAGAAGTCAAAAGTTAAATTTATCAACTATGAAATCAAGTAGGGTGTAAAATAATTCAAAATAATTTAAAAAAAAAAAAAAAAAGTAATGCAGTGTCAGATCACTATTAGCAGACATCTTACCAGCTATGCTTTCAACTGATATCACACGAAATAACGACCGGCCCAGATAGACTGTCCTTGATATTGCTCAGGCAGAGGAGCAAACTGCTGGTTTCCATTACCGAGTTGCTGTTGCTGTTGCTGCAGCTGCAGCTGCTGTTCATGCTGTAATTTTAGATGATCAAGAGTTTGGAAATCCTGCCAGCCTATCTGTTTTTCAACCTGGAACTGCATCGCTGGAGCTTGTTTTCCAGGAAAGGGAAAGCTGACTGTCCCAGTCACACCATTGCTGTTACCAATATACTGAGGGTTTGAATGAGATGGATAATTGATGGAACTACCAAGGCCTCTC